GTTAGATATTAGGAAGAACTACTCCACTGTAAGGGTGGCCAGAGCCTGGAATAGGCTTCCCAGAGACGTGGTGCTCTCACCTTCCCTGGAGATCTTCAAGAGGAAACTGGATAGGCACCTGGCTGGGGTCTTATGACCCCTGCCACCCCCAGTGCTCCTTCCTGCCCATGGCAAGGGGTCGGACTAGATGATCTGTCTAGGTCCCTTCCCGCTCATTGATTCTATGTTAGCTAGTTATGGTTATAGTCATCCATAGCCCAGCAAAGAAACGATCCCTAGTGACTTGCCAACAAGCATACAGTATTGTACAAGTACCAATGAAATCAGCAGAAAGCTGCATCTTACAAGTTAAAGATGGTCTTGCTGTTGTAATTAAAACCAGTTCATTCTTACTAATTCAACTGAATTAACAAGGAAGATTCATTGCGAGGGTTTTTGCCCACCTATACATGGCTTCTTTCTTTCCATCACACTGGGTAATATTCAGCTCAAGCTTTTATGAATTTTTCTACCTTACAAATCAAGTCACAGTATTTGCTTATCATAACAGCAGGTTAATTCTACAAGTTACTCTCTATAATGAAGAAACTTAGCACTGCTATTCCATTGCAGAAACACTGCCTCATTCTACACCAAATTTTCCATAATCTCTGCAACAAGTAATATATCTCACCAGGCATGAGTCTGGTCAACTACCTCCATGCGATTCAGACTAAGCAATAACTGTGTTATTATTAATACTTAGCATTACATTCTTTCCCCTTGTAACAAACAGCTAAGATTAAGTTTCCCCAAAATAGACAGGTTCATGAAATATGGCAACTTATTTCATGTACATTTTGGTCTGGGTTCAGATTTCTACATCATCTGTTTCGTCAGACGCTGCTGGGCAGAGGAGATTCATACTGAATTGGGGTGTTATCAAGGGAAGTGACCTAGCTATTAGTCCTCCTCTTTGGACAGCAAACCCTGACATTAAAAAGGTAGCCTGCTTTGACTTATGAAACATCTTTTCCTCCATCTTGTTTGACCAACATCCAGTTTCAAACTTCCATATACTCGTTTTCACATTAAAAGTCTTGTTTTGCTTTCCCTGCATCAGTTTGCCACGTTTTACTTTTAACTTGTGTATACTTGTATGTGTACATTAGAGCTGCTTTAATGGTCACACTAAACAGACTAGAAAAATACTTTGATGTGAGAAAATGTTTAAATATTTTATTACGGAACAACACGACTTAAAATGACAGACAGACAAATCATTACTCTATAGGAATTGCTTTTGATCTCTTCTTCAAAAATGGATATTGTTGCACTACTGCATCTTTAAGGCAGCTTGTGAATTAACCTGTCAGAGAAGTTTGGGGATTTAGCTACACAGTGGCCACAGTAGCTCCCCCCACCCCCATTTACTTGCAATGGAATATCAATATTATTTAAAAACCAACAAACCCTAGTATCCTTGTTATAATATTGACATTTACATCTATTGCTCATTTAATTTAGTTATGACACCTGTTAATAGAGTGGTTCCTGTAAGTTTTAAAGGGCTTCAGTTTTTTCACTGCTGCTGTTGCTAGCCATTCAGAACAGTTTACTGGATAAAATTGTTTCTTCCTTCACACGTATCAAGGAAGCCATCAACAGTAAGAGAAAATAGAAGCATCTTGTCAAATTCATACGTCATATTTCTACAAAATATTGATGGCTCCTTTACAGAATTGCTAATTTGTGCCAAGTAGGTTACATTTTTGTTTATTTTACAATTGTCCAAAGATTTTAGGATGCTTTAAAAAAAAAAAGGGCAATTGACCCATATGTTTCAAGTCTCTTCCCTGTGGTGAAGGTAGTGCTCTCATGGTAGCAAATTCCATATGGCAACACACATAATAGGGCCATCCACAAAATGTTAATGATATTCAGCTGCCACCTCAGAGTAGCTGAACCAATGGGATTTCTAGAAGCAAGTGATTTTATTTGTTCTTTGATAGACAAGCCATCTCAAACAAGCTAGGAATAGATAATGAACTACTGCTTTAAGAGCATGGCCAATTTATTGAAGCCTTAGAGCATGTTCTACCCCAACTGTCAATACACCATGTTAAAAATTAAAAACATCCTGTCTGTGCAGATGTCCGATTCAGATTTAATTGCATATCTCTAACTCACAATGAGATGAGACAACATAAATAAATGCCTGGCAGTTGCAAGCTCAAGACAACCCTTATAAACCAAATGCTATTTAAAATTTGGAATAATCCTTTATTTTCTTCAAGTACTAACCAGGAGTCCAAAAACTTCTATATTAAGTTTGCTTCCCACATTTTTCAACCAGCCTATTTTTCCCCTTTTCCATCATCTTTTGTGAAATGTAGTCCACTTCAAAAATGTATCAATTTTCCCTTTAAAGCTGATGGATGCCTTGATGCGACATGGTTTATTACCTGCATTTTCTTGACACTAAATACACACATAAGTGGCTATATTGGGAACAGAAGCATACATAGAGGAAAAAGCCACAGAGGAACAAGCATTTTTAAATGCCTACCCTTGAATGGCTTCAAGCTTTATTTAAGGCAACAAAAATATTTTAGTAATACTTACCTGGTCCAGGTGAATTCCATAGGTAGTGGATTAGAATCAGCATTGCACCTAAGCTGAACATTCTCTCTTCCAATGAACCAATTTCCATCATAGCCAGTCACTGAAACTTCAGGGGCATCTATTATTTAAAAGGTATCTTAGTGGGCCAATAATTAAGCAAAATCTGTTAAGAACAGTTTAGATTCAAGCATTCACCATATAATATTTAAGAAACTAGATGGCAATATTTAAGACTTCTAGTATGTAACAGTCCTCCTGCCTGAAGAACTAAGCAACATGGAAGTTGGACAATTTCTCAAATAGTGTGTCCCAGAACAAGATCCCCCACCCACCTTTGTTCCTTCCAAAAAAAAATATCTTTCCTTGTACTAAAACTAAGTAGCAGCAGCTAGGGAGGATAGCTAATGAATTGCACGCAGACTTCACTTTTGCCCAGTAAGTGGAAGAAGTTTTCATCCTGTGTAAACATGCACACCGATTCTAAGCAGCTAATTTTTGGAAAAAAGGCTTGTTATTGAGAAAATATTATAATTTAAGTCTATTGGTCTCTCTCTTCTGGGCCAGGTAGCTGTTTAATTTTGTTGTTGTTGTTTTAAGAGTAGAAACAGGGTGAGAAGTAAACACCAGCATTAGAAACATCCATCTTCCAACATCCTTGTCTTCAAAAGGAGGCTAGATAAATCACCTAGCTGGGGTCGTTTGACCCCAGCATTCTTTCCTGCCCATAGCAGAGGGTCGGACTTGATCTGCTCAGGTCCCTTCCGACCCTACCAACTATGAAACGCTCCCAAAGGCAGCGGTCAATTGCAGCACATTACATGCCTAGACTTTGCAGGGTATTATCATTATTAAGCCTCATAATGCAAATGAGACATCCAATTTATTTACAAGAGGTTAAAAGGCAGAAATTTAGAGCTTCTGTTTAAAATAAGTTTCCTGCATCAAATGTATAGAAAGAAGTTAACAGACAGATTAACAAGCACAAAAGGTTAACAGATATGCAAAGTGACAAATAATTTAGTCTGCATCTGACACCCAGATATGGTAGGATGGACTCTAGCAAAATGGGCTTTTTGCATTGCTACATTTCCTGAATTTTTCTTGAAAGAACACCTAATAGAATCACACTAGTAACACTAACATATTTTGGGAGCAACGTGGACATGGCTTCACTGACTGAAATTGTGTTTTTAAAGTGGTTTTGGACAGAAAAAAAATGAATCATTTTATTTGGAGGGAATAAACATAAAAGTAACACACCACTCTAAGTCCTAGAAACTAAACACACAAAATTGTAGTTTAGTTGTTACATGAACTGAAGGTTTAACTTTTTCAAGGGTAATACTTTTTTGAAGTATGTTGAATGTGGCCCCAAGCACATGATTAAAGGATGCTCAAAGTGTGCATTAAGTCTCCATTGCTAGGCAGAGCAATCTTCTTCAGTTAAGGTGACAGCCATTGCTGCTTCTGCTGCTGTAGTTAATGGGTCCACAAATTCAACAACAGGAAGAGTGTTTTACTTTTGTCCTGTATACTGCACTTATGTTTATTAATCCCTGCCAGGTTTGTAACAAAATACACCTACCATTATGGCTAGGTGTCATTAAAATGTTTGTTAGGTAAATGACATCAAAGTGGAGGCTTATTTAAAATGGTACTCATTGGAAGGCACACAATTACCTGACTCTCCCTCCCTCCTATCCCCCACTACAGTACTAAAATCAGTTTACTGAACTCCTAGTATGGCTAGTCTATTAAGCCTTTATCAAAACAGGTTTTACAACATTAAGAACTTGCTTAAGGAGTAAGTGGCACCATCTAGAAACATTTTCTGACCTCTTGCCAGAAGTGTCACTATTTTTCTACTGGCCCTTCAATCTTGCCTCTTTCTTTTCTGGTTTAGGCCCTCTAATCACTTTCCATTTTAGGTGCGTCTTCATCTCCCCTGAGTATTTTGACTGACTCAAGTGTGCCTCAGTTTCTTCTGTTTTGTTTAACCTGTTATCTGTGCCCTTATGCCCACTTAAGTTTAATCAAGTATGTTGGTTACTGTAGTTACATGGAGGCTATCTGGTTACACACAGGTTTAAGGACAAAAATATTTCTGACCTTTGTTAATAATATTTTTGCAGCTGAATTAAACAGAGTAATAACTGATAAAGATTTTTTCTTCTGAGACCACAAGTTAAGCTAAAGGATCTGTGCTAATAAAGGAGATCTTATTTCCATTCTGTCCATTGTGTGGTGGCACCTTTATGTAATCTGTTCAGTCCCTGAGGTTTCCTCATTCATGAAGTTCACCAGAATTTCACCCCAAGCATTATTTCTAATTTAGAATGACAATTGCCATTTTAAGCATTTTTCAATGCTTCCTTCAGCTGAAATGGTAAATATTTGTTACATTTAGAAATTGTATAGCTGATGAACTGAAGACCAATTTAAAAATGGTTACAACAGTCGCCATACTTCAGAGGGGGACAGGGGATGACTCTTCATCTCTCAGGTAAGCAGGTAATCAAATGGTAGCATGGCTCAGAGTCTGAAGTTCAGGACAAACTCAAGAATCTATTAATTCTGTTTCTTAGTCTGCCAGTCGCTACTGCATATTCTTGGCCAATTCATCTTGTGTGTCTATATTTTTTTTATGTACTCATTTGTAAAACTAATTCTTGTTTTTAACTTCTTTTTTAAGTGGGTTTGGCATCTTGTACAGAAATTTAGTAGTAAATCCAATACAAATAATAAAAACTCATTTAAATAGCAACATTAATGCTTGATACTTACATTGGATGTCCAGCACGTAAGAATATCTTATCTCCTTTTCCAAAGCTGGGTGCTTTACAACACAAGTTATACGTCTTCCTCTTGCAAATCTGGTAGGAATGATTTTATACTGACTTACAACTGTCACTGTTTCATTTGGAAAGGAAGTTGAACTAGATTCCATTTCACCAAGGCCTCCTTCCCAATCAACATCTGCAGCAGGTTTTCCAGTGGCTGCTGTACAAATGGCTGCTACTGTCTGATTTTCACCATCTATTAAAGAGTTTGGTCCCTTTGTAAGGCTCACAGCAGGTTCAACTATTGAAAAAAAAAGTAACATTTTCAGATGAGAATGTGAGAGAAAACAATAGGGAGAGGGAGTACTGAAACACACATACCCCTCATTTCAAAATGAAATATATCAACCACCAGTTAAAAAACAGCAGGATATTAAGTACCAAGTAACATCCAATATACTAACAATTGACAACTTAAACTGAAGCCCCATCCTGCCTCTTATTCCTCACTGTTTACCCAGTCAGTTATCTGAACTTCAAAGTTTCATTATGGTTGTGGAGATTTCAATATATTAATATCCAAAGTACAAAACAGTTTTCCGACATTTGCAGTAAAAATCTATTAGTCAAGTTGATTAGAGCAGGGGTAGGTATCCACAGGCTGCAAATTTCTAACCTAAGAGGGCTCAAGTCATTTGCATTTGCACATGGTGCAGATATCCAGCCCCTCTGCAGTAAGTTAGGCACAGGCATGAGAACAGCAAGGCGGGCTTTGGAAGAGGGTCCTGCAAAGAGGATCGGCAGCTTGGCGCAGCTGTGTGCTACCCAATCGTCTATGTTGCCCCAGGCTGGGTCAGACCTTTCTAGGTTACCAACCTCTGGATTAGAGAGATTTGTTGTTTTCACTGCAGCAACTCAACATCTACCATACTAACCCTTGAGTTATCTGTGAGGACAACACCAGCAAAGAACACAAGCTTCAAACCTTCTATCAAAATTGTGCTTTAAGAACAGCCCAGTTTCTACTCCATTAGGCCCTACCAAAGTGCTATTCTGGGCTTGTCACATTTCACCTTTTTGCAAGATGCTCAGCTGACAAGACTTTCTACATTAAGTTCAACTTCTCTCTTCACACTGAGAGACTCTGTTTAAATGCCTGTTTCAACTGATTCTATACAAAAGATACAAATGTGAAATGGGTTTCAGTTCTGACATGGAAGACCAACATTCTTAGACTGAATATGATCCATCTGTCACAGCCTTAGAGCTGACTATGTGCATATGCAGACATTTTTTCTTAAGCCAGAT